ATAATCGTTCAGCTAAAATTTGGGGGCCAACAGAGGTGAGGCAAAGAACCTCACCCCCCTGCTGGTACAAAGACCTATCCACAGGTGTGGCTGTATACTGGACCGGTAGTCAGTGATAGGTAAGATCCAATTGCAATGGTACCAACCTAAGACAGGAGGCTGACGCCTTGAGGTCAGCTCATCCGATAACGGGTAAGGACCATATGTACTATTGGACAACCCAAAGCAGGCACCGTCCCTAAGCCACATGCTTGTTGTTTAAACAGAGAGGGGGAGATGTTGAGAGCCACAGCCGAAGGGGCCCCAGCAAACTTTCAGACTGCCAGCTGATGATTGGCTCACAGCAGCCCCAGCAACTTCTAGCTGATTGGCTCCTCTGCGGTGGTGCTCATTGGGCTGTTTCCCCGCCCTTTCAGACTACGGAGCTGCTCATTGGGGGACCTTTTTTGGCTCTGCCCACGTGACCCAGCCAATCGGCCTCAAGAGCAGGAGGATTGTGGGAGGGGGAGAGGCTTGTGGTTGAGAGAGGCTTGTGGGAAGCCGGTGGTGGCAGTTGGGCTCTGAGGGTTTTTCCTGAGGAGCTGTTTTGTTTGGCVTGTGTGGTTCTAAAAATAAATTTCATTTCTTTTGACAAGTGGCTCCTGAACTGTGCCCAGCCAGACTGCGGCGTTTCACATCAACCTTAATTATCAAATACAATACTTGTAAATGAAAAAGAGTACATTCTGCCCTTGACTACTCCAAGTGAAAACTGCTAGGCAACCAATGACTCTCTCAGAAGCTCTAAAAGACCCATTGAACTTTAGAAGCTTATAAGTTAAAGCAATCACAATAAAAGCTACACTAATTACTTCAAAGCATACAGTATATACCAAAATGTAACTTTACCGGGTAGGAAACAATGAGGTTTCTTATGATCTTAGAATTTTCCCTTTCTAGATACACTTGGGAAGTTAAAAATCACAATTCCCATATCATAATTTGAAATAAAATAAATTAAAAATTTCCATCTCTGTAAGCAAGCGAACATGAGACAACTGTTACTTTAGGGGAAAATAAAAAGTTGTACAAAAGAAGAAAAGCAATCATAGCCCAGAAATAAATAGTGTTTACAACATTCTATTGAAAAAAATAGGAATGTGATAATTAGGGTGGAAAAATGAGGAGGCAGCAGTAAGGCTTATACTAGTGGTGATGGGGAAATGGGAATTTATGCTAAGACCTAAATTCTTAAAGGGAAGTCACCACATTATAAAAAACAAAAACAAAAGGAGTTCACAGTAGTCAACATGATTGCCTCTTCACAATAAGCCTCTTTAACTCTGATAAAAATAAAGGCTAGGCCGGATGTAGTGGTGCATGCTGTAATCCCAGATATTTAGGAGGATGAGGCAAGAGGAACATAAGTTCAAGACCAGTTTGCGCAATTTATCAAGACCCTGTCTCAGAGTAAGATTTCAAGAAAGGGCTGGGGAAGTAGCTGGTGGTAGAGTGCTTGCCTAGCATGTATGCCTAAGTCCCTAATTCAATCCCCAGTGCTGCAAAAAAACAAAAACAAAAAACCCAAAACACTTAGAAGACATTCTACTACTTTAAATATTTGCTTTCCTGTATCTGAAAATATATAAATACATTTTAATATATTAAAATACTTGTTTAAAATACTCAAACTCTTCCTGAATATAACTTATCTTTTTGCTTTCTAAACCTTTTTATTTTGAAGTAATTATAGATTCAAAGGATGTTGCAAAAATAGTATAGAGAGGTTCAGTATACCTCTCACCCAGCTTCCCTCAATGATTAGATTTTATACAAGTATACCACACAATCAAAACAAGTTAATTAATGCTGGTACAATATTTATCATTCTATACCATTTATCATGTGTGTATATTTGTAAACCATCACAAAAATCAAGATACAGAAGTATTCCATTACAATAAAGATCTCATACTACCCATTTATAATTACTCATTTTCTTCCTCCCATTTTTCCTAACCCTTAGCAACCACTAATTTGTTTTCCATCTCTATAACTGTCATGTTATACAAATAAAATCAGTTTGTTTTCTTTCAAATTGATTTTTTAATTCAGAATAGTATCCTTGAGATTAATTCAAGTAATTTCAATTATCAATAGTTCATCCTTAGTCATTGCATTCCATAATATAAATACCATATAGTTTGTAAAGCCTTTCACCAACTGAGGAGCATCTTGCTTTCAGTTTTGGGCATTACAAATGGCTATGGTTTGGATATGGTTCAAGTATGTCCCCCAAGAGTTCACAGGTTGTGAGAGTGGTCCTCATTGTAGTAGTAAGACCTCAGGAGCTTGAGCCTATTGGGACATCACTTAGAGTGTGAGCCTTAGAAGGGATTATTAATGTAGTTTTCCTGGGACCCTGAATTAGTTGAGAGAGTTGTTATATAAAAGAAATAAGGCTGTTTCCTGGTCTCTCTAGCTTCTTATGATCTCTCTGGTCTCTTTATATACTGCCCCCATAGTGCTCATTTGCATGTGAAACAGCCAAAGGGACCCTCACCAGAGCTGAACCAATGCCAGTCTTTGAACCTCCAGAACTGTAAGCTAAATACTAATGGAAAACAGCCTAATACACAAATAAAGCTGCCTTTTACTCTGAAAATATGTCATTTCTCTTTCTGCTTTCAAGATTTTTTCTTTGCTTTTAAAGAAATGTGACTAGGATATGTCTTACTGAGAATATCTTTGGGTCTATCCAGTATGGGGTTCACTCCACTTCTGAATCTGCAGGTTTATGTGTTTTGCCAAATTTTGGAAGTTTTCAGCTATATTTTCTTTGAATATTTTTCCAGTCTTACTATCTTTCTTCTCTCTTTCTGGTATTTTAATGACATGAAGGTTAGACCTTTTATTATAGTCACACGGGTCTCTACACTATTCTGTTTTGTCTTTTTCTGTTAGTCAGATCAGTTCTTTCCTGTTATGCCCAATCTCCAATGAATTCATAAACAGTATTTAAATTTTTTTCAGTTAATGGAATTTTCAATTCTAAAATTTCCACTTAGTTGTTCATAGCATTTATTTATTATTGAGACTCTGTTATGTTTGTTTCAAGCATGATATTAATTGCTCATGGAAGCCTTTTAGTGCTTCAAAGGTTTTGTGCTACTTCTTTCCAGTCCCCGTGTTTTCTGATGAGAAATCTACTGTCATTAAAATATCTGTGGTAGCTGCTTTAAAATCCTAACTAGATAATGCTTACACCTGTGTTATCTCAAGACTTGGTGTCTATTCATTTTCTTTTCTCATTTCAGTTGAGATTTTCCTAGTTCTTGATGATGAATTATTTTTTATTCATACTTTTAATTTGGAAACTTGGGGTATGATGTTATGAGACTTTGGATCTTACTTAAATCTTTTATATATAAAGCAGAATTTCTGTGATACTTGGCCAACAGAAAGGGATAGCATCCATTACTTTTAGGTGGATATGAAAATTCAGGTTCCCCAGTTGGCCTTCACTGCCTATGCTAGGGAGGACAGAGGAGGTAACTTGATATGCTGGGTGGAGAGGGTACAGGCTCTTCACTAGGCCTGTGCTGAGAGCACTATAAACCAGGGTCCCACAGTCCTAGTAGTTCAGCCTTCTCTCCACATTTCAGAATCATCTTATATTTGTTCTTTATACTGTGTTTTAGCAGAAGGGATAGGGAGAAATGCCTATTCAAAAATTTCAACCTAATAACACTTAATCAAGTGTCTTAATATGCTGATGGTTTCTTTTCCTTTGGTTACTTGTCCTTGTCTTTTAAAACTGACACATGACTAGCTGCTGCTATGCCTCTGCTGACAAGCTTTACAATCTCATTTTTTAAAAATATTTATTTTTTAGTTGTAGTTGGACACAATACCTTTATTTTATTTATTTATTTTTATGTGGTGCTGAGGATCAAACTCAAGGCCTTGCAAGTGCTAGGTGAACACTCTACCACTGAGCCACAACCCCAGTCCCACAATCTCATTTATTTAATGAAGCATTATTACATGGTACTTCTTCACAACTGCCAACAGCTATATCCAATGCTGCTTTGGAAACACAAATGAGAATATAAAAAAGGTCATCTGAGAACATAGCCAACTCAACTACTGCTTAATTTTAAATGCATAATTTAAAATATCAGCATGATCTTAGACCTGAACATATTAGTATCTTTAGGCACATTTTACATTTTAACAAAATATTTATTAAA